AGGGCGTCAGAGAGTTAGAGATACTATGTATATGGTCGTTTGTTCATGCAGCTATCTTGATCGAGTAGTATTGAATATCTCACTTAGTTATTTGCACACAAACTAATCCCTTAAGGAAGGGCCTGACACAAAACAATATTTATTACAAAATCTACGATATGGTTTTATACAGTAATACAGTTTTTGCTCTGTAGAAAAAACTCAATGAAAAACACTTTTTCTTCGATGGATAATATGTTCATGCTGACATTTACATGTGTATAAACTAACTTGTACAACGACTTAAATGAAATTGACAAGTTTACCCTACAAAATAGCGTTTCATTTATTTCTTACTTGTTGCGAATAATCGTTTAATTTAGACACAATCTTAATAGTCACCCTACATATGTACATATATATATATACATATACACATATACAGGATGTCTCAATAACTATATTACCACCTTAGATATCTTTGAATCTATAAGGTTCAAAGGAAAACTTACGTAACCAAAATTGGTTACATGATATAAAGAGAGCTATAGTATAGTATAGAGATAATAATTTTTATCCGGAAGCGCTTCGGAGATTTTAAGATCAACTTCGTTTTTTTAAATGGAATTGTATGATTTTTTAAGTATAATATGATTCCACTAATTATTCTGCATATAAAAGTATTAAGGTACAGAACCAAAAATTAAAAAATTAACAGTTTATGAGACATTTTATACTTTATTCTGGTGCATATTGACATGAATATTAAACATCTCATAAACTATTAATTTTTTTATTATTTAATGAAATGTATCAATTGGTGTAAAGAAAATACACAGTTGCTAAAAAAAAAAATATATATATAGGCAAAATTGATAATTTTTTAAACAAGCAACCGTGTTTTCATTATACCAATTGATTCATATCATTATTATGTTCATAAAAATATAAAGGTACGATTATTAAAAAATTAATAGTTTACAAGATATTTAATATTTTATGTCAATATATGCCAAAATAAAGTATAAAATATCTCGTGAACTATATATTTGTTGACATCTCTACCTTAATATACGAATGCGTGTATGTGTGTGTGTGTGTTGTGTGTGCATTCTCTAGTAGAGACAATAGTAATTCCGCGACAAATACAAATGACAAATAACTGAGTTCTTGGTTCTTTCTAAATTTTTTTTGTACTTGTATATTAAATATAACAATATTGTGTTTTAGTGCCATTATTAATCATTTCCGAGAACTTTTTAGTTTTAAAGTATATCTATAGATAACATATAGGCATTAATAACGTTGAGGCTGAATTGTTCCACCTTTCAGTAAACTTCAGCACTGTCTTACTCTCTTATGCTCTTACTCTTTTATTCTTTTGTTTATCCAATACGTAAATTACTACATAATTTATCCGAAGATGGAACAACCAGCTCTGAGCGGCACAATTTATTGACATTAATAATCATCAATAAATAATAGGGCAATAGGAACTCGAAAGTTTTCCATAGAAACATATAGCGACATTTCGATGAGCAACATAATCCCATTAAAATCGCAAACGTATTCATTTATTAAATGATTCGATTAATTCTGTGAATTAAAAGAATAAAATTAAATCAACAAAACTTTTTCTGCACTATATCAAAGTTTATAATAACGAAAGTACTTCTTTAAAATCCCTTCAATATATTCAATATGTTTAATAAATGACAAGGGTTTTATAAAAAAGTTTATAAAATAAGTAACATCAAATTTCTCGCATGTAATTAAAAAGAATATATCGCTGTGTTGCTTTATATTAAAAAATATAGCAATAATTAATCTTTGCAACAAAATATCCAATTTCGCAAAGTAATTTATGACGATTTATATTGTCAGATTTTTCGACATTAATTAACTTCGTTGCTCGTGTTAATGCATCTTTGCATTTGAAATTTGTGCCAGCATGAAATTACAACTTTTCCGATTTATTTACAATTATTTACTTACATTTATACCACTTTCGCATCGACTCCTTTTTCTTTGTCGCAGATTTTCCTCAGTCGACTAGCATTGTCACACATTTATATTTACGATCATTTTAATTATTACATTGTTGCATACAAAATAAATCTAATTCAATATAAAATTTATCAATTAATTCAATTGTATAAAGAGAAGGAAAACTTATAATACAATAGCACAATGTCTATATCATTTCAAATTTGTAAATTTGTGCCGAAAAATTGTAGATGATAAATTAATATTCTTATGATCAGGGACTCGGATCGAATCGGTCTGGTTACGGTCACGATCAGAAGCTATACCTAATTTCCGGTTCCGGTTCTTTTATTGATAATGATTTCGGATCTTTTTCAGTTCCGGACCGAAAAAGTCCGAAATCCAAGTTTCAGTTCTTTCACCGATAATGGTGACTGTAACCATTGGACTTCAGTTTTTTTTCGGTTACGGTTACGGGTGTATGCTCGGGGAAAAAAGTTTATATATAATTATATATAAATATACAAGGTTGTGCGCATTACCAAAAAAAAAGTATTGTCGTTACCGTTACTTTTTGAAAAAACTCGTTATTATTATTCATTATTAGGAAGTTTTTGCAATAGCGTTTATCCAGATACAGTGAACGAAGGTCAGGTTATCTTCTTCTTAACAACTAATTAAGAAAAGGATAGCGTGACTTTAGCGTTCACCGTATCTGAATTCACGTTATTGCAAAAACTCCCTATTAATTTTAAAGAGTAACGCGTTACCGTTACAGTTACTTGAAAAGTAACGATTCGTTACTTTTTTTATAATGCTAAAGTAAGTTATTAGATTTTAAAATTGCATTAGCTGATAATTAATATTAAATGTAAAATAAATATTCAAATTTGAAACTCTCTACTAACTAATTTGTATATAGAGCAAACTTTTTTCTATATTAAACTTATCTACAGTTTTACTAATTTCTTTATTTTCTTAATATCGTTATTTTAATGTACTCATTTTTATAAGAATTTAGATTAAACAGCTAATAGGTTAAACATTAATGTTTTTAATCGCTAATGTTCCCTGGTGGAAATAAATCGGTGAAATCTTTATCAATTTCCCAGACCCATTTCAGTATAATTCAGTATAATGAAATGAATCAATTGATAGAAATTTCATCGATTTTCAGCGATTTCAGCGATTTATTTCCATCAAGGTTACTTTTATATGTACTTCAATATTTATTGCTCATACTAAAAATTTGCAGTATATATGTGTAATGTGGATTATATATTTTCAACATTGGCAGTGCCTATTAGAACACAGTATAAGATATTAAGTACAAAATATTTTTTAAGAAATTAAGAATAAATTATAAAATAAAAAAATAATAGGGAACTAAAGTAATGGTAAAAGTAACGACGTTACATTATAGTATAGAAAAAAGTAACGTTACTGAAAAAAGTAATGAAAACGGTTGTTGCGTTTCAAATAAATATATATAATTATATGAAATTTGGTTATTTATATATAATCATGAAAGCATATATAATTATATAAGCTGAATATAAAATTTTTCTATTTTGCAAAAAAGCCATATTAAATTTAGTTAATTAAAAAAACATGGCGAATGATCACTCTGCAAGCGGTACAGAATATTTTGCACTTCTTGGAGAGTGATCATTCGCCAATGTTTTTTAATAATTAACTAAATTTTATATGACTTTTTTGCAAAATAGTAGAAAAATTTTATGTTGCTGAACATAATCAGATACACAAGCGTTTTTTCGACACTTTCAGGGAAAAAAGTTTATATACATATAATTATATGTGACCATATATGATTGTGCTATATATATGATCATATATAATTATATATAATTATATATAAACTTTTTCCTGCCATGGCATATATTATAATACAGAGATATATATGATCATATAGAAACAAAATTCATATACGATTATGTTATTTATGGTTAATTGGTCATATATAATTATATATAATTATATATAAACTTTTTTTCCCCGAGTGACTACTTACTGTAAAAAAAGATAATATAATAAGCATAAATTGCATATTTAAAAAATTCATATTTATTAAACAAAATGTTTATAGAAAAAAACAATTTAAAAAAATATGGAATGGAAGATTATGTGAGCACTGTAAACAGATCATTTTTTTCAATGTTGCTACAGCGGCTACTCAGAAGCCTTAAAATCAACTGCGTGTCTAAGGAGTGTTAAAAATATGAATGTAAGATTACAAACGTACTCCACTCGCTCTGTTCTTTCCTTCATCGTTCTATCCTTCTCGCCTTCACCGAAAGTAAGGACAGATCGAGTGCATGGAGAAAAACGCTGTGATGCCCGTCCCCGATTTCTTATCATCTGGCTGGGTGGCTGTCGACTATAGCCGACGCTCGGCCGTAGGGATACGTATGTTTGATAGCTGTCGACTGTAGTCGACAATCGTACCGATGAAGTTAAAAAATTTGAACCGAAAACCGGATCGAAACCGGACCGGAAAACATTTTCGGTCCGGTTACTATTTCGGTCCATTAGCCTGCCTAATATTTCGGTCCGACAAAAATAGCGATTACGGTCCAGTTATCGGTTTTGTTTTCGGTCTAGTCAGAGTCCCTGAATTGATAAAAAAATTTGTAAATGTTTGAAAGTTACACTGTTCAAGTACATTTTTTTAATTTTCGCGTCGCGTGAAAGCATTTCATCTTACATCTCATTTAAGCAATAAATAAAAAAGATTACTAATAGATAATATATCGATTTCGAAAATTGCATAAACTTGAACATTAATAATCTCAATTTTTAATTAAAAAATGTTATATGCAACAACCTAATAGGAACAGTAGTTATTAAAATCCCTCATTTCTATTTTTTCTCATATTCACATGCAGCTCTACACTGATATACTTATATGTACACACGCACACACGCACGCACGCACACACACAAAACACACACACACACACACACACACACACACACACACACACACACACACACACACACACACACACACACACACACACACACACACACACACACACACACACACACACACACACACATCTAAAAATCGATGCTAGTAATTCCAACAGCATCTCGCTGAGAGTGAAAGTCAGAGGGAAGTGATCGCACCCTTCGTGATCACCGTTCACTTCTTTCGAGTTAATGTGCTACGTCCTCATCGCAATTGGAAAGAGAGAACGAGATGGAAGTTGTGGAAAGCGTCGCCAAAGGAGAGGCTGTCCGCAATCGACAATATCAGAAGACGCATGTGCAGTCTTCCGAAGCCCTGGCCTACCTGGCCCGTTTCCGATTTAGTTTGGCCAATTTGCGTCGTTTCAATATCAGCTGGTACAGTGTGTCCAAGCCTTCGTGAAGTCCTTCGCCTGTAATAGCGCACGCTGGTTGCACACGAATACAAGCGCTGCCTGGCATTCCGGTTAGTTCTAACACTCCCAGATGCTTCTCTAGTTCACTAACTTCTTTCGCACCTATATAATAGAAAGCCCGTTAACGAAATAAACCAAAATGTTTATATTATTTTTAACTATTCCATAATTGAATAAACTACATTCCTTAGTAAGGCCACTCAAAGTTGTAATGCTTCGCTGAATAAAAATGCGCGTAAACTCTTTATATTAAGTATTTACATGAAGTTTATTCGTATATCATTTTCCATCATAATATACAAATTAGAAAGACTTATTCAAAAGTTACATAAAAATAGAACGAGTTACCAAAATTGCGAAATTCGCGAATTTAACTGATAATATAACCATTAAAAAAATAAATAACTAAATAATGTTTACACTATTTATATTTAAACAAATTTCTTATTTTTTTATAGTTTGCTTCATGTGTATGCAGGATATCTCAAAATCATGAGATGTATCCTTTTAATAATAGATTCTTTTATAGTACCTATGTAAGACTTTATATTTTTTTAATTATAAACCAATTTTTCCGTCAATGTAGAAACTCAATATTTAACAAAAATGCGCGCTTGTCCACATTTTTATATAACTACTTGCAGTATGTAATATAATGTAATTTCAGAAAAACACAACGCGCGACGTGTTCGCACGACGCGGAAATGACAAACGCATCGTGCGCGATACGGTTTATACCAACTGCTACGAATCAAGTATGCATACAAAAGCAAATATGTTTACTGCATCATGTTATGCAAAAAGGTTTGAGAAAAGAACATGTCAAATAAATATGAGATAACAAAAATGGAAAATATAATTAGGCAACAAAAATAAAATAGTACTTTCCAATTAAAAAGATGTGCAATGTCTTTGAGATATAATTTATAAGTTTTAAATAAATTTTATAATATTAATTATACCAGGCAAATCTTGTTTATTGGCGAGGATTAGGATCGGCACACCCGCATTGTCCGGACTTCTCGCCGTCCTAGTGAGCTCCATTTTTGCCTCCTCAAGCCGTTCAGTATCGCAAGAGTCAACGACAAAAATAATACCATCGGTGCATCTCGTGTAAGATTTCCACAGCGGCCGTAGCTTTTCTTGCCCGCCGACATCCCACACAAGAAAATTAACACCTGTGAACAAAAAACATACTGCGTTCTAAGGTGGAAAAAATCATAACGACGTAACGCGGGCATCCAAAAATGGTGTCCGTGACTTATTGCACTTATAATCGAATCTTTGTATACTTAGTTTAGTCATTGGAAACCGAGCTATTTTTGATAGCATTCATCAATTTCCACTCAATTTTATAACAATAACACACATGTTAGATTTAGATAAAAAATGCGTTCGAATAAAAATTATATAGTAGGAGAGTAACAGTAGAAATAAATTACAGAGGTTTAACTAGTAAAAAACAGAAAAGAAAAAAATGTGAAGATACAACTGTATGAAATCTTAATACAAAGTTAGATAGCTAGATAATGGCTTAATAAACAATAAATAAAAGGAGCACACGCAGGATATTCGTATAGCGAAAGTTATGTATTTAAAATTCGTATGTTAATGTTATAAAATAATTATAGACATTTCGGCCCAGATTGGACCACCTTCAGTATATTATACATATAGAATAAATGTAAATTAATCAATTAAATTTGACACTTAATTAATTGGTTGCTTTACATTTATTCTGTATGTATAACATATTGGAGATAGCCCAATATGAGAAACATCTGTGGTTATTTTATAATATTAACATAAGAATTTTAAATACCTGATTTTTACTACGAACATCTGGCATATGCTCCTTTTATTTATTGCTAATACAAAGTATTCTAAAAGAATGTTGTTAAAAGAATGTTTAATTTTTTAGTTAATTTGGAGTTAATTTTTTTCTTATCGAATATATCGAAAAAAATTATTGTTTATTGTAACTTTCTCGGTTCTTTCGTCCTATATAGCTTTATATACGAGACTTGTATCGAATTCTATTGATATAAATTTCAATATCTGGAATTAACTAAAGCGAGTAATATCGTTTAACTTCTCGAAAATTCGTTCGCGAGAAACTCTTTCTCTTCGATCACTTGTAACTTGGAAAACATCGACAATTTCGCTGAAAGGAAGATCAATTCTAAATTCTTAGCCAACTTTTTAGCTAAAGTTCTTGTACGGTTCGTCTTTTCTCTCCAACATGGAAGGAAAAGGAAGAAAGATGAACTATGCAAGAAATTGAGCTAAAAAGAAGAGGCCTTAAGGGAATGCTGGAGTGACCGAATTATCACGTTACAGTCGTATAAAAATCTTCGAATTGACTGAACGGAATAAAAAATCCTTTTACAATTTTTTACATTAATGTTAAAAAATTTTTTAACATTAATGTAAAAAATTGTAAAAGGATTTTTTATTCCGTTCAGTCAATTCGAAGATTTTTATACGACTAATATGATAATTTGGTCACTTCAGCATCCCCTTAAGATTGGTGGTTTTGAAATACACCTATTAAGAGAAAGACACAGATGGTCAAAGACCAAAGATGGAAAATTGTGGGAGATGTACCTTTAGCTTTTCCGATGCCACCGCGAATTCTCTCGCAGTTAAAGCCAATAGTCGGTACGGTATTGAGATACTGATCGAATTTTAGTCTGTACAGGGCGGTCGTCTTCCCGGCGCTATCGAGACCGAGCATCGCCACGTGCAGGGGAGTTCCCGTAGGAAGTGCCTCGAGCAGACCGCCGCTCGTGCCGCTTCTACCCATCCCAGCGCCCATCCCTCTCCCTCCCTCCCCTCCCTCCCTCTCTCTCTCTTACTTTCTCTCCTCCTCCCTTCCTGCCTCTCTTTCCTTCCCTATCTCGTCCTCGCTTCCTCTTCCCGCTGGCAATTCCTTTTCTCTTGCTCCTTCTCTTTTCTACTTCGTTTTGATCTGGCCTAGCATCTAGAATCTCTTCTTCTCCTGTGCTGCACGCGAAAAATACCTTTCTTCTTCAAATTCAACCTTGAGTCCGCTACTGCGAAGTTATCCACTACCGCATCGTCTGAAAACAAGCGCGTTCCACAGTTAACGCCTCTCAACCGGTTCCATCCGAAACAGGTGTGCGTATTTCGTCTAATAATAAGTAGGACCCGATTTCCATCGAGGTCAGTGTCACTTCCAATATTAATTAATCGAATTACGACGAATACCGTTTTCTTCTTGCACTAAAACCTAATCTATTATAATGTGCTTTTTGCTTCTTGCCCTTGTTTTTTATTACCTTTTCTGCCTTTTACCGACAATCGTGTTTCTTATCATGTGTTTCTTGTCTCTTCAGAAGTTCAAAAGAACACGAAACAAGAACAAAGAGCACATTGTATATTAGGCTTTAATTATTAAAATAATTATTAAAATAAATTAAATAAAGGATAAATAAACGATTAAATTAAATAAAGAAGTAAAAACGCCCAGTATGCGTGCGGGTGTGTGTGTGTGTTTGTTTGTGTGTGAGGGGAGTGTATACAGAATCGTAGAAATCTCTTTCGAGAATAAACTTTCACCCTCCTTTAGTCAGACTTTCTAGAGTAGGCCGCGAATAACTGGTAATTTTTTTATTACCATATCTACCGCACGGATCGAGTTCATTATTTACATCGTCTAGGTCGAAATCGCTGAATAAATATTTTTTTATTGTCATTGTTTCATTGTCTCCTACAAAGTAGGCTGCACAGTTAGAAAGAAATAGAGTCATCTACTGTTAGATCTATAATATCAAATTAATAAAACGATATAATTAAAATAACGATATATGTAATGAGTATAGGAGCAGTGGTGATTTAAATTAGGTTAAATTTGACACTATAGAAGTATAGATTTAACAGTACAACTAATATATAATACTATAACATATTTAGATACTTTATATACATTTTATATTATCATAGTTGTACTTATAATATTTTATTTTTGTTTTACGTATGTGGGCATTTTTAGAAATAGTTGCGCATGATATCCACACAAGTAGATATAATCAGATTCATATGCAAAAATGAACGCGAACAAGCGAACGTCTGCCCCCTACTGATTACTTCGTTAGAAAATAATAAACGCATAATAGTTACTTGAGTTTTTTATTTATTTTTTTACGCGTAGATTTTTCGCACAGAATCATAAACTAGGACTATAAGGCACTTTAGGCTGCCTGTAAATTAGAATATCGCGCGATAATTCTATTTATTTTATTGTTTTGAATAGAAAAGTCAAGTTTTTGAGCCGGTTTTTTCCGGAAAATACTGGTTTTTACCATGGACTTTATAAAAAGAAATGTGGAATTTTGCCAACCCTTCATTGCTGTGACATCACATTTGTGATAAAGCGAAACATTCGCACGTCATCATGACGGAACTATTTATTGTGGTGTAACTGTGATGGTTTTTGCTATGGATGAAGCGAAGCGTTCACCAGTAACAAAAGAAATAACAAAAGTATTTTTGAAGAAATAAAAATGCTACGCAAATTACAGACAAAATTTCATTTTATTCTGATTCGTGTACATGTATGTATAATTGATATAAGAAATATAGGATCTATAAAATAATTAGGGATGCACCGGGTATCCGGAAAGTATCCGGTATTATCCGGCACTTTTTTACTATCCGATAGTCGGATATCATTCACCGGAAATATATCCGGTAGAAATTTGATATCATTAAATTGTTGATTTTTTATTATACAAATGTTCTAAAAATAAGTATGCATATTCATAATGCTATAATATCTACATTGTTGTAAAATTACAATTTTTTCTTTATAGGCTTTTTTTTAAGACATTTTCTCGGAATCCGCTCGGATATCCGACTCGAAGAAATTGTCTTCTAATATCCAACCGGATATCCGATGTATTTTGTTCGGATATCCGGTATCGGGTAATTTTACGATCCGGTGCATCCCTAAAAATAATGATAAAAGCCATCTGTTTTTAAGCTTTTTTGTTTTTAAAATATATTAATTATTTTTATAGAAATTGATTATGACAAGAAATACTAAGAAAGTTAAGTTTATACTGGAAACTATGTATATTAATTTTAAACAATAAAAAATGTGGATGTTGAATATATACAGGGTGTCCCAGATCTCCCGTATCACCAGTTATTAATAGATTCCTAAAATTATTTCGAGACGAAAGTCCTAATATCAAAATGCCGAGGCTATAATAGTTTTCAAATGAATAGCGATTAAAGTTCTCTAATCACAGTGCTGACATTTCGCGCGCTCAAGCATGATATGACAAGTGGTAAAGGTATGTCACGAGGGCTCTCTCAATAATTTCAAGATTATCGTACAAATATACAATATTTTTATTAAGTCAGTATCAATTTTAAGCAAACAACAAACTTTTTACTGATACTTTACTCTTGGTTCGTCTACACGCTGAGTTTTTCATTGTCACTTACACTTATTTCGTAGATAATGGACTCAAAACTAGGATATTTCGACATCAAATTAGAAACAAATTAGCAACAAATTCCTATGTTATTTTGAAGCAGATTGGCTTTGTTATACGTATATTGTTCCGCTAACTTAATCTTCCTTTAGCAGAATATCATTTTAAAAAAACTGAGTTTTTTTTTCAACTTTTTATCAACAATTGAGCAACAAATAAAAATGGTAAAGTTATTCTGCTCATTTGTTCCGCTACTTATAAGACGTCAATTCTTTTAATATATATGAAGTTAAATATATTATAATCATATTATTTAGAAAAAACCTGTTATATCCACTAAACATCAGTTAACGATAATGTTACATTAATAAATATTATAATTTATCACTCAACATGTCACAAGTAATTGTTATATACAAAATAAATTATAATTCGTATACATTATTCGGTGAGAAATTACAATATTGATGCAATGTTACCATTAATTGAGGTTTATTACCGAGTATTTTTGTAATCCTCTAACTAAACACTGTTCTGCTTGATACCAATAAAATATGCCTTTGTTGATATGGAAGAAACTCTATATAAATACTCTAAGAAGTCCTCAGGAATTCTAAACATGGTGCATATAATTTCTTGAGGTACTCTTACTGTGTTCTTCTATGAATTTCTAAGGAATTACAATTCAGGAAAAGAGAAAACTTGAAGAATACTTTGCGAATTCATTGTGCTATCTGAATTGAGACTGTGTGACAATAAAACTTAAGGTGATATCCAAAGAGGACTTTTCAGTTTCCACAAGGTGTACAAACATTGTTAAAAGTGTAATTGTTTCTAGGGAGGGGGCAGATTACTTTGAAGAACAATAAAGGTCATTTGTATATTAATCAAGTGGTGTTTATTTTCTCGTAACAACATTTACCCAACCTTATTTTGACACACCACGTATATCTTGAAGATTTTTTCGTATTAAATATTTGAACATGATACCATTGACAGAAGGTTTGTTTGTGTTGCATACTTCAATATGCCTCAACGAGCATGTTTAAGTAAGAGCTATAGTACACTGAAAAAAATTTCTGATTGAAAATGGACGAATCAGAATTTTCTGGTTAAATTTATTAGAATTCTAGTTGAGATAACCGGAATTCTGGTTGATACAATATTTTTGGTAAAATCTACTAGAATTCTTATTTTTACCAGAATAATTATATCAATCAGAATTCCGGTTATCTCAACCAGAATTCTAATAA